GCACACTGGAGAAAAGCCTTACGAGTGTGAAATTTGTTTTAAGCGGTTTTCTCAACCCGGTAGTTTGAAATATCATATGAGGTCACACACTAAAAAAAGCCGTACAAGTACGAAATTTGTTTTAAGAAGTTTAGTGAAGCAACTAATTTGAAGACATTTGAGAGACCACACCGGTCTTACAAGTGTGAAATTTGTTTTAAGCATTTTCCTCAGACAAATCATTTGAAAACACATTTGAGGTTGCACACTAAGAAAAAACCGTAAGTTCGAAAACACTATACTCTGTTTTTTAACCAGGAGGAGTAAACCAAAAAGACAGATTCACACCCAAGAAAGTTACTAGAAAAGTCACCAAATACATCTTTTTTTGTTGATTATCTCGGCCTTGCGGTAATCGAGTAATCAATATCGGACAACCTCACACGTAAATTTTAACCTAATTTTATTTATGTTTGAATAATAAAATAATTTTTTCAATTCACTTCCAATATATATTACAATTATTACAACAAAAAAAAGGACTTTTTTCAAATTTGGTCCCATGTATATATATTTGAATATCGGGTGATCCAGTTTTATAGATCTCTTGAGTCTATGGTATTTAATTATAATTTAGAAATTATTTTGATCGGGAGAGTCAATAATGTTATAGATCTAAGTATGGTTTTTCTCAGAAATTTGTCTTTTAATAGTAGACCATATTCTTATTCTGGTATGATCAATTTCTTAAATCTAGTTTTTTTTTCTTACCAGATACTTTGTATAAGTAAGTGTGTACTTACAATTTCTTTAATGCTGGATTCTTGTTTAATTTTGACAGTGAGTTTGTCTCATTTGTTATCAACAAATAAAATTTACTAAAAAATACTGGATTTCTGTGAGATAATCAACAAATCCAATCTATTATGTTGCATTATTGCATAATTTTGCAGTTTTCTTGTGACGATCTACAACCAAGAAGAACAAAACCAACTGTATCAATACAATCAAACTAAAACACAACATTACTTTACCAATGTCCTTTTATTGTGATGAAAACAAAATGGACATGCTTCTTAACAAGTATACACTAAATTTAAAGGATAGTTGCCGTTTTTCTTATGATAATTAGATATAAATAACATACATTTATAAATTTATAAACACTTTAAACTATATTTAGTATAAATATTATCTATAAAAATATCACATTAAATACTATTCGCATATCACCAAGTCCAAGTTATTACAAACAACTTAAAGAGTCAGAAATCGATTTATATATTAAAGGGAAAATAATAATAATAAATAAGTTTCACAAATGTCATTAGTGTCAATATGTCATAATTTAGTGGAGTAAACTTGCCTGCAGTTGGACCAATTGCAAACAAGCATTACGGCGCGGAAAATTTGAATTACTCCTCCTGGTTAAAAAACAGACAGTAGTAAACATGCACTATTGATAAATGCATTTTGATATAAGTTCAAGAATTATACTTTTATGTGATATACTGGATACATCTTCTCAATGAAATCAGTAAATAATTTGACCCAATAAGTCATGGTTGCTGATAAAATATATCAAACGGTTCCATAGCGCTTGTCGCCGCAGTTTATTTTCCCTTCATCTTCTTCTATTCAAATACAATTTGTCATCAAAATTTTGTTGCTCAGCATTTTTGGGTCTTCCACGTTTTCTTCTCACGGCTGGTTTTCAATTCCACGCTGTTTTCGGAACGTCCGACACATTTTTTCGGACTGCAAGTCATTTCATCTTTTCTTTGCGTCGGATATTCGACTCATCTCGGCACAAGCAGCGACATTTTCATTTCTAAAAATGATACAAGCCGTTCACCGTGCTTGGTAGGGCGCGTAAAGCCGTCGTTCCCCCTGGGCTAGTGTGCATCATCACTAACTCTTTAACACTGTTACTATACTATCGCTCTCTGTGCCACTTGTATTTTATGGATTACTTTTCTGGTAAGGGTCAATGTTTCTGCTCCATACTTTAGAATTGGCAGTACACATTGATCAAAGACCTTCCTTTTCAAGCACATGGGAATATCTGATCTAAAGACTTCTATCAGTTTTCCCTAAGCCGCCCATGCCAGTCCTATTCTCCTGTTTAGCTCCGTTGTTTGATTATCTCGTCGTAATTTAATCTCGTGGCCCAGATATTTATAGCTATACACCTGTTCAATTCGCGTGCCGTTAATTAAGATGTTTTTCGCCAGTACAAGGTTGGTCATGTATTGTGTTTTGGAAAAATTAATTTTAAGTCCAACTCGAATATACGAGCTCTTAAGGTCTTCAAGAAACTGGCAGGTATGATCTACACGGTCTGCAATAAGGACTATGTCGTCTGCAAATCTCAAGTTATTCAGAAACTCTCCATTTATGTCAGCGATGGAGAGGTCAATGCTGAATATATCCCTCAGAGACAGAGTATCAAATACAATAATTAGGAGAAAAACTGGTGTTACTGACGCAGTTCAAAGGATTACAACATTAAAATGGAACTTGGCGGGGCATTTTGCCAGATTAAAAGATGGAAGGTGGACGAAGAAAATTCTGGAATGAAGACCTAGACACGATGCTTATCGTAATCGAGGACGTCCTCTAACAAGGTGGTCAGATGACATCAAGCGCATTCAGCACAACTGGATTCAGTGTACTCAAGATAGAATGCATTGGAATTATTTACGGGAGGCCTATGTCCAGCAGAGGACTCAAAACGGCTAATGATGACTATACTATATTATTATAAGACATATTTTTTTTTTCGATTGTTATTTCGGCCCGATTGAATTATTTGTTCGTTTGTAACTCTTTTTCGTCATGATATTCCACACGATCTTTACACTTTATTTAATCTGCTTCCTTGTTCTGTCGGGTTCTCTTTATTAATTTTTGCTCGAAGATAATTGTGTTATCTACATTTTATTTTGCTGTTTTTACCAAAAATTCGGCCTATTATTATTTTCATTTAAGAATGCATACTGGAGAAAAGTCTTACAAGTGCGAAATTTGTTTTAAGCAATTTAGTGAAGCAAGCAATTTGAGAAAACACTTAAGAATACACACTGAAGAAAAGCCTTACATATTAGAAATTTGTTTTACACAATTTAATCAAAAAGTAAGTTCGACAAGGTATTTGAGAATGCGCACTAGAGACAAGACATATGTGTGAAATTTATTTTAAGCAGTTTAGTCAAGAAAGTGCTTTAAACATCACGTTAGGTCACATACTAGAAAAAAGCCTTAAGTGTGAATTTTTTAAAGCAATTCAGTGAAGCAGGAAGCTAGACAAAATAATTTAGGAATAAAACTTATAAAATTTACATATTTGAAATTGGTTTAAGCAGTTGATTCAGAACATGTAAAAGGGGATGGATTAAAAATAAAATAAACTATGAAAACACGACATTGTGTTTTATTTTAACAGAATATCCCACTTGACATATATTTTTTTAAACACCTTCCTCTGAAGACTTCAGCTGTTTGCCGTTGGAAACAATTTAAGATATTCTCTGACGGAATATTGCCGTTTTTCTACTTGTATTCTCGTTAGGCTAAATAAGGAAGACTTCCCAATATCTCTGTCCATCGAGAATTGAATTTTTACAACGATTTATGTCTACTACTTCAAATATAAGTCTAATTTTCGAGTCAATAACTACTAGTCAAGACCTAGGTCACCGTGGCATTTTGAATTCCGATGGGTTCGCATAAGTTTTTTTATGTATTTTTGGCTGCTGATTACGAATTTTGACGGTGAATTTTAATCTTAGTTTTCAAATAAAATTTGTTCATTGAAAAAAAAAACAAGGAAAATGGCATTTACTAAATTTTAATCCAATGATTAGAACTCGAGATATTAGTGCAAAATAAGTATTTTTCGAGGCTTTTTTGATCGTAACTTGGATTCTGCTTGTGCAAATGCGCTGTAGAAAGTTTCATTTTAAAGTTTAATTTATAGACAATTATCATAGAAAAACTCAAAAGGAACATTTTGAGCTTAGAACAATGTTCGTTTCTCTTTCTTTTTTGAATTCTTTTAGAAAGGTACCTAATCTAAAAAAAATTAAAACAAACAAAAATGAATTTTGATAATTCAATAAATTTGCTATAATAAACATGCTATTTGCTTTATTCAATAAACATGCTCTGCCAAAGTACAAGATGTTTTTTATTCTACAATCATTCTTGTGGGAAATATTACGATTTGATAGATGTCTCCCGGTCTCACCTACATACACAGCTTTACACTGAGTAAGCTTTTCAAATTGAGGCGCCCATATTTTTTTATTGATAGATGGTAAGAAAATATGTTTAATTTCCTGATTAGTATTGTCTTATACAAATTCCATTTAACCTTAACAAGATTTCAAATTCTAGTCTCCAATGACGGCATGCGCGAACCCGACCGATTTTGAGCTACGGGAAGATAATATCTTGTTATTCATAGTATCATGGTCTTATTTACATAAATTTCAAATTACGTAATGTTACGTAACCTTTATATACATTTTACAAAAAAAAATACGGCAAGTTTTATACTTATTTAAAATTATTTGTAGTAGCTTCTCATAACAGAAATTATTATTTCGTAAAAGCGTTGATTGAATAGATTATCAATCAACGGTAAAAGTAACTTTATATTTGTAACATTCATATACATATCGGTACCTCAGAGGTAAACTATCGTAACTGCAAATTTCGCTGTTTTCTGATTACATTTTTAATATGTACATCTCGATGCGAATTTTCTGGGGGTAAAGTATCGTAACTGATACTTTTCATTCTGCTTTAAAACGTAATGTGAAACTATTGTAAGCTACTTAAGTACTGCTGTATTAAACTATCGCAAATGACGTTACGTTTGTTTACCATAAAAATTTGGCCGAGAATATAGAACTGTTTAGGTGTTCAACTAACGTAATCGCACTTACGATAGCTTACCACTATTCAATTGTTTGATTGAGCAGCGTGTTGTCTAAAAAGAATTTGAGTTCAGAAATATGAGTGACAAAAGAAGTCGAAGAATATTGAAATTAGCTTTATTGGATATGGAGGTAAGTTGTAAACGATAATTTTTTTTGTAAAACATTCTAATTTTCAAGATATTTTGAAATATTAGAAACCTAACCTCAAAAATTGACTTTAATTTAGAAGTCTATGTTTATATAATAATTTTCATTATTTAACTCAATATTTCATTCTTAATTTATAATTCATAAATAATTATTGTTAAACCCATCATATAGCGATGAGATTTATAGTTGTAACTTTATATCATTGGATAATATAGACCAGCAGTCGGGGAACTTTTTTAATCATTACCCCAAAACATTTTTGTGTATGTTGATATTACCCAAGGCAAAAAACAAAAAAGCAAAAAAAGGTCTCTTTTTAGCATCATTCATATTATAGCCCCCATGATAGTTTTGAACAGAAAACAATAACTAAAACATAAAATAAACATCATTTATTCAAATTCTATGATACCTAGAAATACATCACATAATAATAGATAACAATAATAAGATATAAAAAATTAAAACCCATTTCGGTACTGTAACAAATAATAATAATAATAATAATGGTTGTACTAACAAAAATTAGAATTGAAAAAATTATAAAAAAAGAATAATTGAAAACATTCTTCCTTCACGTTTTGGAGAAATGATGTTGTTTCATGTTCGCTACAATTGCTTCAAAATTGGGACTTTTTGATGTAAGAGCGATTTGAATACAGTCTTCAGCGTTTAGTCGATTTCTGTTCTTCGTTTTTATGTTCACTAGAGTGGAAAAGCCTTGTTCGCACAAATATGTTGTTCCAAATTGCAGCAATTTTTTAACTCGCCTCTTCATGTGCAATTTTGAAAGCCTTTGCAGCTTTTGATATCCAAAAAGACGACAGATTTGGTTTACTCTCAAATTTAATACGTGCTTCAGTATTAGATCGAAGTTCAAGAATTGCTTCTGCCAAACCTGAAGGTTCTTCTGGTATCATATCAATTTCACATTTAAAAGGATCCACAATCCAACTGACAGTAGGTATATCAAGATCTGGAAAGTAATCTTAAACCGCTTTCTGAGTTTGATAAGATGTCTTACAATTGTATCCTTGATGTCAGCAAAAGTAATATTTTTGCAATCTTCCAAAAACAAAGCTAACCTTGAAAAATAAGCTATCTTGTTCTGTTCTACTTTCTGACTCCAATACTGCAGCTTTAATCCCAACGCTGACACTATTTCTCTCGCTGAAATGATATTAATATTCTTTCCTTGCAATTCTTTGTTTAATATATTTATACTCTCAAAAATGTCAGCTAAATATGCGAAATATGTAACCCAGGAAGAGTTTTTAAACTTATCTGCGAGAATATTTTTTTTGATCAACCATAAAAATTTCCACTTCAGTTTTGAGAGTCCATACTCGATTTAGTACATTTCCGCGAGAGAGCCACCTTACTTCTGTATAATAAAGTAGGTCCGTATATTCGGCTTCACCGTCCTGACATAATTCACGAAATAGCCGCGTGTTTAGTGCATGTCCCTTGATACAATTTACAATCTTGATGACATCATGCATGACGGCTTCCAGTGTAGGTTCTAAATATTTGACCATAAGGGCCTGGCGATGGATCATACAGTGAATAACTTCAATATTTGGGTTATTTTTTTACGAAAGCCGAAAAACCATTAATATGGCCCAGCATAGCTGGAGCTCCATGCAAAGATACTGAAATACAGTTTTCCCATTTTAAACTAGGCGCATTGAAGTATTCATTTACTTTATTGTAGACATCAATTCCACGAGATCTTAACTCGAGAGGAGAACAAAACAGCAATTCCTCTTCAAAATTATCTGCACCTTTGTAGCGAACATATACCATTAGCTGTGAATTGTTACTAAAATCAGTTGTCTCATCAAGCTGAATAGCAAAATATTTAGCCTGTTTTAACGAGAAAATAACTTGTTCCTTCACATTTTCTGCTAATATAGAAATTCGTTCTTTCACAATTCTCGCAGACAAGGGCACTTAATTCAGTTTGGTCGCTTCTTTTTGACCACACATAATCTCTGTCATTTTTACAGCAGCTGGTTTAACCAAATCTTCACCAATAGTGTATGGTTTCTTATTTCGAGCAATCAACCAGGCTACTTCAAAGCTAGCCCTTGATGCTGAACGCTGATCAAATGTACCAAACAAGTTGCTATTAAATCTTTGTCTTTTAACAGATATTTCTAAATTTACAAAGTATTCTCGCGGTTTGGAAGACAGGTGTGAATGCAAATTATCTAAATGTTTCTTCAGTTGACTTTTTTTTGAAAGATTCTGAAGTCAATACCTTCATACATACAACACACTGTGGTTTCATTGTACCATTGTCTTCTATTTGTGTAAAACCGTAATTAAGGAATTCGTTTTGATATTTTCTTTTTCTATTTGCTGCCATCTGAAGGAGACAGAAAATAATAGTTGTAAAATACTTGAATTAAATTTTCTAATTGCGGCTTACCTTGATTGATATATCGATGATTAATGATTGTCAGCAACTAACTATAACTCTCTGACTCGTCAATGTATTGTATCCTGACTGCACGGCCCGGACTGAGGGACTGAGCAGTGGTAGATATATACTTTTTACTCACAAGTTTCATTTTTACCCCCAAAAATTTCATTTTTACCCCATTTGGGGTAATTTACCCCGGTTCCCCGACCGCTGATATAGACCGAGTATCTTAATTGCAATGAATTATTATTGGTGCTATTCTCTTTCTTGCTGAGTTCTATAAATAAACAATTTATTGGATATTGAATTACAACTCATTCTCATTCTCGAGTATTAAAAAATTTACTTTTGTAAGCAAAAATATTTTATGTTTAGTAATGTTTCGCATTAGTAATTGCCTGCTTAAAAATATTTATATTTTGTTAAAAATCATTATAAAATTTGGATGTAAACTCTTCCTTGAAGTTACCTATATGATTACAGGTCATTTCTTTGTGTGATTACTGTTTTCGTAATAAGCCTGGTATGAAATTAGATAAAATTATTTCTAACATACATATTTATAATGTTTTTATGTACTAATAGCAAATAAAATGAAATTTCTATTGAAATAAAATTGCATAAATATGTTTTTTTACAGACTGTTAGGGAAGACACAGCGTCTAATGAAAATGCGGACAATGTATTGAATATATTGCCAGAATTAACCACTTCTATGACTGAAGAATCGACTAATATTAGGAGCAATGATTTCGTAAATTCGGATGTTGATGATTCAGACCAAGATCCCGATTATGAGATGGATGAAGAATCTGCAGACTCATCTGGTGAGGATGCTGCATCTCAGGAGGATAACCTGACGAATAATACATCTACCACATCAAATGTGCCATTAAAAAAAAGGGGACGGAAACGAGTGCGTGATCTTGGTAGTTGGAAGTGCAACATCAGAAAAAGAAATAAGCTAGCAGGAAAAGAATATGTTTCAAAAAAAGGAACATTAATAGCAGCAAAAGTCACCGTGTCTGCCATCATGCAAAAAAAAGTGTACCGAAAGAATTTCCCATGATGATAGGCAGCAAATATTTGACAAGTTTTGGCGTGAAGAAAATTCTGATAATTTCAAACGGCAATTTGTATCCAACAATATTGAAAGAAAACCAGTGTCTCGAAGGTTGGTGACAAACCTAAATGCTCCAAGGAGAAATGTAACGTTATCTTATTTTTTTGTTATAAGAGATACTAAAATACCAGTCTGCAAACATTTCTTCTTAAATACACTCTGCATATCAGATATGTTTGTGAGAACCGCTTTAGCAAAGAGAACGGATACAGGAATAGTTGAACCGGACAATAGAGGAAAGAAACCACCACCAAATAAAATTAACGAAAGTGTTTATCAAGGGGTACGGTCACACATAAGCTCATTTCCAACAGTAGAGAGTCATTATAGCCGAGAGAGGACCGAAAAGCATTATTTGGGTAATGAGTTAAATATCTCAAAGATTTACTCGCTATATAATGATAGATGTATAGCTGAGAACATAAATAAAAGTCTTATAGCGAAAAATGGTTATACGAAAAAATTTTTAATACTGAATTTAATCTATCCTTCAAACAACCGTACAATGATACATGTGACACATGTGATCATTTTAATATCAAAATTAAAACTACTGAGGACGAAGGCGAAAAACAAGTCATCCAAATACAATACGATAAACATCTTACTGCAGCCAGTCTCCGATATACTCTAAAAAGAACTGATAAGGATATTTCTAAGAAAACTGATTCAAAGAAAATTACGCTAATGGTTGATTTACAAAAATGTTTATCAACCCCATTGTTGACAAATACTCAGTCATTTTATTTGAGAAAATTGTGGACATTGAACCTCACGATATTTAACGCAACAGAAGGAAAAAGTCATTGTGCAATGTGGGATGAAACAGTTGGGGCCCGTGGAGCCTGTGAAATTTCTTCGTGCATTTTCAGGTGGGCATTAGCTAACTTGAATTCAAATATAGAGGAACTTACGATATGGTCAGATAATTGTGCAGGCCAAAATAGAAACTTCACAATAGTTGCTATGTATATGTGGCTTATTCGCTGTGTCCCAACCTTAAAATATATAAACCACAAATTTTTATTAAAGGGACACACTCATATGGAGGTTGACGGAGTCCATTCTGTAATAGAGAGAGCCAAAAAGAAACTTGATAAAACGAACACCATGATGGTCCCCTGGGACTGGCAGCAATTTGTCAGGTAGTGTAAATTTAAAGATTTAATTCAAGTATACGATATGAGGTTAGAAGATTTTAAAAATTTTAAGTCACTGTTCGATAACAATGCTTCTCCGTTAATAAACAGAAAAAAGAATTCTAATCATGAAGATTTCCTCATTAGTGAAGTTGTTCATCTGCAAGTACGATCGTCAGATCCGGGGACTCTCTTTTACAAAACGTCTTTTCAAGAGGACTTTAAGATGATCGACTTAAATCGAAATTCTCGTAGAGGAACGAACTGGCCAACAGATATTCAGCCTGTAAGTAAAGTATTACGGCCCATATCTTCTAAAAAGTTTAATGACCTACAGACAAGTTTGCAGTGGATCCTCCATGTTTTCATCATTTCTACAAGAATATACCACATGGAAATAATATCGCTGAATATCCTGAGGAAAAATAGCAATAACACTACTTAATACTGAATTTTAGGTTTTATATTTCTTGTAATATAATATAGTTGTTTCAATTCTTACTTATTTTGTATGATATAATAAATGAAACCTGTGAAATATTCAATGGTATACGTCTTTCCCCATTTACTTTATCCGAACGTATTTGGTAAAAGTAAATTTTTTTTAAGGGTAAACTAACGTAAGTGCTCCCATCTGTTAACGGTAAACTGAAATATTATGAAAATATTTTTTTCAGTAGTGGTACGCAATAAAATATTATCTTACCATCAAAATGATTTTAAAGAAGAATAACTAATTCGTCAGTTGCGTCATAAATAGATAAAAAATCTTAAATCGGCTCTACTGTAAAATTAGTAAAATGTTACATACGATAGTTTACCTCTGAGGTACAGACATGGTACAGATATGTATTTTACTAAAATAAATACGGCAACACTGTATCGCGGTGCCTTGACGAAAATATATTTGGTTAGGTTAGGTTATCATAGAGAAATAAAAATAAGTTTTTATTTTTATTTCTCTTATGAGTAATACAAATGGAAGTAAAACAAGAAGTGGTGGAAAATACGTGTAAAATAGAAATAGATAATAATGAATTAGATGATGCTCTTCTAAATACCTTTCAAACTGATATTAAGGAGGAACGGGGATTGATAATAAACTTGATTATTTAAACTATAAGAAATATCCATTAAAGTTAGAAATAAAAGACAATGAAGATAAGGTTTGTCTCCTTCAAGGAAATGAAAGTAAGTAAAAAACGTAAATTTTATCAAATTCCTAGAGTATAGAATTATAGGATTGTGAATAAAGTAGATGTTTGGCCCAGTTTTTTTATTAATATATACATATAGAAAGAAAACTTGCATATTTTCTGTGGAGAATTCACTGTTTTTAGTTATTCAGAAAAATTCTTGTTTAATTTTTACACAAATTGCGAACTTTTATTTGCTGTTAAAAAAGTAGATATTTGAAATAAGATTTTGTCTTTGAAAACATTAAATAGTTTTTTATCAAATTAATTCGTTGTTCCGAAAATTGCCAAATAAATAAAATCGTTAATTATTTGTCTTGTATAATCTAATAATCAACTTACACCTTTGTTATTGTGGCGAAACTTAGGTCATATAGTGCTTAACAAACCTAACTATAGATTGATCCATCAATAAGCTTAAAACCATACCATAGTCAGAAAATAATAAATACTTAATAATTCTCTGTGTACCATATGAAAGAGAAAACATTTTACCATCAAAAAGGGAAAACTATATTGTTTTAATGTAAAATCACAATTTTACCAAATATTACATTAAATGTCCAAATTACATTAAAAATTTCAATACTGTTGTCCAAATTAATAATAGAAAATTCAACTAAGCAAAAGAAATTACCTTTTAATTAAAATCTTCTACCTATTATTTTATCTCTACTTAAACTAAAGAGACAGTTACTCAGCCAGATCCAAATCAATGATGCATGTCAATTAAAATCACAATTTAAGGAACTAAACAAAGATATATCACAATTTAAACAACATAAATGGATTCTAGCATGTAAGAATACAAATGAAGGGTAAAACAAAGGGAAATAAAAAAACTGTCCAAATATAAATCATTTAGACAACAAATTTCAGAACTTATGATGACCAGTCATATAATCTGGATAATGAAAAATGTAATTCTTTTACAAAATACTTTGAAGAAACACAAATTTAGCAAGAACAGTAATTTTGATAGAGATGCCTTAGATGAGGTGGATAATTGGTTTGAAAATTTTTATGAGAATAGTCCTAATCTGAATGCCCTTTAGATCATCACATAAGATGAATATGACAAAGTTTTATGTAAGAGTAAAAACACAGCTCCAGGCAAAAATTTTATTCTAGTTAGGCACTAGATCTTGTTTTAAGGAAATAAGGAGCATATATGACTGTTATATTTGTAAGGATGATAAATCATTTATTCCCTGATAAATGGAAGACAGGTATTGTAATAATTATTCCTAAACCTAATACCAACCAAAATACTTCAAAATTAGAGTCCAATTACTTTTCTCTGAGTAATAGGAAAAAATTTTGAGAAAATTATCCAAAGAAGATTATATGAAAGATTAAACCAACATATTCCAATACACCAGTTAGGTTTTAAGGAAAAATCATCAACGATCCATCACCTTTCAATAGTAATATCCAATGTAAAATTCAACTACAACACATCATGTAGGTATAAACGGAAAAATTATAACTATATGAAATTCTTTCTCAAGTTACCAATGGAATAAACAGAAGTCACCAGGTGATATTTGAATCTGAATGTGATTATTATAAGATATTCATATTATTATCATGATTAATATCATATAGGATAGTTTGATGTTATGTTATGCATATGTTAGTCCAGATTCCAAAAGTTTTAACACTTATAGCTTCCTAAGGTATGCTTCCACAGTTATTTGACAATTCTTGAATATAAAAACTACGAAAAAATGTGAAAAAATCAACTAATTTTTGAAAAAAAATTCTTAAATAAGTTGCTCAAAAAAGTGATTTTTTGTTAATAAATAAATTCAACAACATTGCAATTTTTATGGTACATCTTCCTAATTAGATGCACCGATATTCTGATTGAAAACACAAATTTAAAAAAGTTCCTTCTATCTTTAATAGAAGCCAAGTTAGTAATTTGTTTAATCATATCTCTTTTGAAATCGTAGGCTTCCACGGCCAGAGTCAGAATTATAGTTTATTCGTCTTCCGGGTTTGGACCGTGTCATTTATGAGTGACCCAAAAGTTGAGATGAACCCACTTTTGGGTCACTCACAAATGACACGGTCCAAACCCGGAAGACGAATAAACCATATCTCTTTTGTCTGTAAATATAGAGTTGAAATTTTCGAAGATTTCCTATAGATACACCTATATTTTATAACGCACTTGATAGTGTACAATTTATATAATTTGGAATATGTAGTAGCCCTTTATTCTAACCAATCTGATTTAGAAATTCCATTGTAAGCGTTAAGACTTTTTCTGGAGCAGATGACCATAACCTCCTTGTCTCAAAAATGAAACTGAGGGTAAAAAAGATAATAAAATCCAAAAGTTCTAAGGTGAATACTCAGTTACTAAAGATAAATGAAATCCGTGCTGAGGCTCAAAGTTGTATCAATCAAGAAATGAAGAAATTAACATCAGAAAACACTGAGAATATGAACATTATGTGGAGCAAAAAAAAGATTCTGTTATAAAAACACAGAAAGAAACTCTACAGAAGAAAACAGAAAGCCGAAAACCTTAAATGACAAGAAATACTGGAAATCATGGAACAAAGAAGAAAATCTCATTCTCTGTTGAGTTTGGCGATCAATATGGCAAATTTCTCTCTGTCCTGAGCTTGATGAATTAATTCATTTCCTCTTGTGTGGATGCAATCTTTGATGTTTCGTAGCCAAGATTTTTTCATTCATTCTATGCCCCTTGTACCTTCAATCTTGTCTTCTAATATTACCTGGAGCTGCTCAAATACCTAGATATGACATCTTTCTAATTTTGATAGTATTGATCAGATGAGAGCTTGTGTTCATTACTCTCAGTACTTCTTCATTTGTAGTTCTACTGGTTCAGTTTATTCTTAACATTCGGCAGTACATCCACATTGCAAATGAATTTAATTTGTTGATATCATACTGTTTTAATGTCCAGGTCTCACAGCCATATAGTAATAGAGACCACAGATAACACTTTAGTGTTCTCAATCTTATTGAGACTGATAGCTTGGGGTTACAGAGCATTTTATGCATATTCATGAAACCAGATCTTGCTATTTCAATGCCTCAAATTTCTTTTGAGTGATCTAGTTGACTATTTAGCTTTCTGCCCAGGTATATGAAGCTTTGGGAACTCTGAAGGGTGATACCATTTATTTGTATGTTAGGTTTAACTTGTTCATGGGAGTTTTTGTGGAATATCAGAATTTTGGGTTTGGAAAAATTAATGTCCAAGCTCAGCCTGTGACTTTCTTCTGATATGTTCATCAATATTATTAGTTGGTCTTCTGTTTCTGCTAATACTACGGTGTCATTGGCATATATTATATTGTTAATGATAATTCCATTGACTCTGGCACCTTCAGGGCGATCTTCAAGAGAAGCTCTAATTATATGTTCGGCATATACATTAAATAATAGGGGGGACAAAATGCATCCTTGACGGACTCCTCGTTCTTGTTGATGTACTTGGTGTTTCCGTTCTCTGTTCGAACGCATCCTGTGTGGTTCCAGTATGTATTACTTATGATAGCTATGTCGTGTATGTACAACCCTACTTCTTTTAGTACCTCAATCAATTTTCCGTGTTTGATGCGGTCGAAGGCCTTTGAAGGTCGACAAAGCACACATACAGCCGTGTTTGAACCTCAAGATACTTTTCTGCCATCAGTGTCAATCCCATAATCGCTTCTCTAGTGCCTATACCCTTTCTAAAACCATATTGAGAACGACTCAGGTATTCTTCACACTTATTGTAAATTCGTTTATAAATTATTCGCATAAAATTCTTTGCGGCATTATCACTTAAGTGTTTAAAATGTTCGGCTGTTATTAGGTCTTCCCCGGGTACTTTGTTGTTCTTTGTGTCTTTTGCGAAGTAAACTTCTTCGGTGAGAATGTTTATTTTTCCATCTGTATCGATTTGTGGGGGCTCTTTTGTTCTCTGATCACCAAACAAATCTTTAAGATATTGCTCCCATATTTCTTTCTGTTTTTAAGGGTCTAATTCCATTTGGTTTTTCTTATTTGTTACAATCGATAAGTGTTTGGGTTTCCATATTTCAGCTACTTATTTAACCTTTCTGTGTAGTTCTTTATCTTTATGCTTTATTTGCAAATCTTCTACCTCTTTACATTCTTCTTTCATCCACTCTTCCTTAGCTACATTTATTCTTTCTCAATTTCTCTGTTGAGTTCTTTGTATCTTGTTAGGTTTTTGTTTTTTACCATCCGTCTCCTCTCCATAATTTGTAATATTTCGTTTGTCATCCATGGTTTTCTATGTTTACAGTTTTATTTCTGTATACTTCGTTCTGCTGCCTCCAAGACAGTATTTTTAATTTTCCCCACATGTCTTCAATGTTTTCTTTTATTGTCTTCTTAGTGGGAGCTATTGTCTTAAACTCTAACTGCGTGTCTACCATGTCTTCATACTTCTGTTGCTATCCTTGGTCAGCACCACTCTATGCTATTCTCTGACTGGGTTTAGCCTTGTCTACTCTTTTAAGTTTTAATCGGATAGTTGCGACTACAGGATTGTGGTCCGAATTTATGGAACCTTTTGTTAATTGTAATGTAGTCAATTTGGTTCCTCACAATATTTCCTTCGCAATCTTGAGAAGACCTCCACATATATAGAAGTCCTGTAGGTAATTTAAACCATGTGTTAAGAATAGCCAGTTTGTTCTCTTGACAAAATTCAACAAAGCGTGTGCCTTGTTCGTTCCTGATTCTTAAACCATATGGGCCGATGACTGATTCGACTTTTTCTGCTCCTACTTTGGCATTCCAATCTCCCATAAATATGTTGATGTCATCTGATTTTATGTGTTTTTAATCTTTTCAATATCGGAATAGAAAATCTCAAGATTTTCGTCTGGGCTGCCTGCTGTTGGTGCGTATATTTGTATTATATTGATGTCGAATGGTTGTCCATTTAATTTGATAATCATTAATCTGTCGCTGACTGGTAGGAAACTTTTC